AAATGTAACATAATGTAAGAATTTGCATTTTCTTAAGACCTGTCTAGATTTGGATTTGGAAGGCACCATGTGAATAATACAATGTAGTTAAGGCACTGTGGCTTTAATGCACAGCTTTAACCCTAGTTGTTTGCAGGAGGCTATTGCTACATTGTATTTAGCACTTGCTAATCAAGAAATAATTGACAGTAAATGAAAAGAGAGGTTACAAATCAAAGGCAGGCTGATGCTGTGGTTACACCTTTTAGATGTGGCCTCCTGCCACAGGCAGTAGAGTTTTGCCTCTGACAGCAGTGAAATAAGGGCTCCTCAGCTCTCCCACCACTTCTGTGTGTGCTGCGAGGGTAAGAGGCTGTGTGGCTTGCGTGGGGATGCTGAGAGTGTGGGTCTACAAGGGGTCAGTGAGGAAATGGCACGTGGGGAGCACGATCGGGGATTTTTGAGCGTGGGGAACAATAGTGGTTATGGCACTTGGGAGTGGATGGGGCTAGGGCAGTTGTGGTTGTGGGTGCAGAGCAGGGACATAAACTGCTCCCCAGAAAGGCCAAGCATATTTTTCCCATAAGCCATCAGCATCTCCATCTCCTCTAAAGCTACATTGAGCAATCTCCCCTGCGAGTAATCCCAGAGCTTTTGCCATCTGAGTTGGCTGGCCAGGAGGTATGAGGGTCCAAAGACTCCAAAGCACAAGCCCTTGCCTGGAGCTCTCACAGAGCCAGAGGCTGAATTTCAAGTAGAAGGGTCTGGCAGCTGTTCCCTATCCCCCTGCCTTGGTGCACCTAGACCTGTTTGATGTACTCTGGTACATTTTCCCTTTAGCCATGAACTATCATTCCAAGCAAATCCGTCATCCTGGAATAAGTACATGTTACAGAGGAGGCAGAGGGTCTCATGGTTACCTCTCTTATGATGCTATCTTCTGTGAGTTTTCCCTTTACCATCACTACCTCCACACTGCTGGTGGTGGCATTTTGGTACATTGGGACAATGGAACCAAGGAGAAAGATTGCTGCAAGTGCTATAGTTAGGGGGGAAATATTCACTCTGAAGTCCTACCAAACCATCATGATGGGCTATCCTGGATACTGAAGTTACACTTCACTGATTCCTCAAACTGGACTCAAAATCAGCTCTTCCAACCCAGTAGGACCAAAGAGCTCTGACTCCTAGCCACAAAGATCAGTGCTTGGCACATGAATCTACAGGAGACCTTACAGAAATTACTGTGATTTGGGCCTACACCTGCCTGTGGCAATTTCCTGTTTTTTCCCAAAACTAACTTTAAAGTTCATCTATTTGAGTGCTGGTTAGAGAATCACTGAAGCTTGCAGAACACCTCATGTAAGAACACAGGTCTGACTTTCATCATTATTTGAACCTTGTCTGATGCACCAGGACATGGTTTTTCTTTACTGGGCTCTGTCCCACTCACTGCGCTGCTCAGTCCATCACGAAGTCACCAGTCATGTAAGTGCCTGTGCAAACATATTCAATGTGAGTCATGCTGCATCTGTTGCTATTTATTAAGCTGTGGTTTATATCTCTGGAGTGCACAGTATTATTCTTCACAAACGTGGCTTTATCTCTGTTATTACAATACGGAATTAGTTAAGAATATTAAAGTTTGTGTTTAAAAAACCAATATACCAAACTTTTTTTCTATGGAGGCAACATTTTCCTATCCATTCTCTCCTAGTGGCAGCATCCTTTGGGAAGATGTGATAGACACATTTAGGTAAATATTATTCCTCCAGCACACATGGTTTCCATTGCAATTCATCCCCTGCCGTTTCCTTCCAAGCACTTTCCTCTGTTAGATATTCCACAATGGTGGCTGAAATACTGATCAGCGATAGCAGAGACAAATTGCCTTCAGCAGCTGGGAGTTTTAAGGGCAGCAAATGTTTATCTCTGAGTTTTGTACATACCGTAGTTACTGAAATACAGCTTTTAGGCGTGCACTGGAATTTTCACTGGCATTGAAAGTCTAAAGTTGCTCGAGGCAGTTATGATTTAATAAAAGGATGAAATGAATAAAGACTGACTGAGATGGGACATAAAGATAGCACTACAAAACAGCCACATGGGCCCAAAAGCTGTAATGAAGATGCTCGCTCCGTAGCCTCCCCTTCAGGCTGTAGCAGCCTGGGTGCTACTCACAGACCTGGCACAAAAGCTGCACCTGAGCCACTCGCAAGCTGCCTGAAGCTTAGGGTTCACGAGCTGCTCACTCCAGGCCAGCATGGAATTGATTCTCCATGCTTTTAAACTGGCATGGCCATTGGAAAAGGTTTCTTAGCAGATGGTAACAGCAAGAAGCTGGGAAGAGCAGGGTGGGAACCTCTTTTTCCAGTGACTGTATTTCCCCAAACACATGTCCAGCTATAGCTCTACAAGCAGTGGGGTGATAAAACTCTTTCCATCAGCCAGCATTAGCTGAGCGCCACTGGGCTGCAGTGAGAGGTCACCCCAAATCACTGAAGCTGGCACGCCCACCAAGCATTAACATGCCGTGAGGAGCTGCACAGAGGCACAAGGAGAATCAGACCATACACTTTTACCAGCATGTTTGTGGCATCTTCTAAGTCTCCAGCACATGGACAGAACTGCACATGCCTGTGCCCTGGCCATTTGTCCATGCTAGCATGATGAATGTCCTCACAGGGGTCCGGGCTCTATGAATGCACCTACTCATTTGCAGGGGGTGGTCTAAGTGGCTAACAAAAGCCACTCGCTGTGCCAACAGCAGATCGAGCACTGGGGTTCTTTGAAGCCTGGCTGCCCTTTTTGCTTATTTTTTTACTATTATTATTTGCTAAGCACCACGTACTGAAAACTTTCAAGGCAGTGTGGCACAGTCTCTGCTCCCAGGCTCTAACTGCAGGTCTGATGCTGGAACCTAGACTCACAGCAGTGCCACTGCCATGCCCTGCACCATCTGCAGAGGGGCTGGAGCTGCCTGCCTGGCGGGCAATCTGACAAGGAAAACTTGACAGGAAAATCAGCCACGTGAAAGGAGCATCACACGGCTAAAATACATAGGTTTTGGTTTTACCAGGAGAGATTTTTAAGACAGGAAGGTATTTCTACCACACACTGGAATCACTTCAACTTTTGCATTCTCTGTTTCTTCCTCTCTGAAATAACCCCAGGCTGGCCCTTGCCCTTGCTCTGGGGAATGTACTTCTGATTTGTATCTCAGGAGGCTGAGAGATATGGAATAAACCCCCATTACCTCTTGCTAATGTAAAGCATAGCACAGCAGATGCCTGAAGCCCTGCTCAGTGGGGTCGATGTAAAACAATAGCAGACCCCTGGCAGGACTTTTCCTTCAACTTCCACAGGACCCACTGTGATGGAGAGAGCGGTCTGTGGTGTGGCTGTCCATTTAAAAAGCCTTGCCTTCACAAAGCCTGCAGCAATGTGGCCAGCACTAAGAAGAGCCTTCTTGTTGTGCTAACTACGAATCCTCATTAATTGGTATCACTATCAGAGTGCCTGAGCCTCCGTGTAAGCAGCAGGGGTTACCGTGCATGAGAAAGCCCTCATGCAATGGCATTGCTGTGGTTAACAGAGCACTCATGAGCTGAAAGGTGAGATCCTCCCCCAGGAGACACAGGACCAGACCATGACAAACACAGCACAACCCCAGGCAAGGGCTCAGGCATCTTTAGGAGGAGGGGGACGGATACCCCCACCAACCTAGGCTACAAGGAGTCAATGGCAATGTCCCCAGAGCTGTCATTTCCACCCAGCAGCGTGGGCCAAGTGGAAAACTCAGAGTGGCGTTGCACAGAGGCTGCAGCAAGGCTCTCCCGCCCAAGGCCAGCAACCCTCCCTTGTGAAGCGTGAGGTCAGCAGTGATTTGGGCTTCCCACAGCTGCATTACAGTAGAAGAGGTACTATATGGTCACTGCTTCTAGTGGCTCCTGGAAGTGGCACATCATGTTGCCACCTCTTACAGCCCGAAATTACACTAACTCCTACCTATTTTTTAGAGGTCACATCTACAACTTTAGTAAAGGGCAGATGCGGGAGGCTCTTGGGACCAGACTCTCTGCGAGCCTTCAAGCACAGCCACAGAACATCCTCCAAGACCTAAGTGTCCAAGAGACTTGGACACACTCTTACACTGCTTAAGGCACTCACAGTTTCTCCTCAGGAGTGGGTAATGATGAGCTGAAGGTGGGAAACACTTGCATTTGTTCATTTGGTTGCAGTAAAGACTTAAACAATTAAAGAGAAGAACTTTTCACAGCATGCTTAGAATAAACATATTTTTTATCATACAGAGTCACACCTTAAACATAAATAATTTGAATGTCTTGCTCTTTCACAGAAAGTAACAGAGAAAAACCTTCAAGGTTGACACATGGAAGCTGGCATTACAAATCACATAGGGTCAAAGCCAAACCCTGCATCCAAACATGTAGATATTTGGTTCCAGAGTTGACCTATACACCACCTTCCTCTCCTGCCCTGAAAGGAATGGAATCATGACCCTCCTTGGAAGACCATCCCCATCATCAACCTCTGGTTAAGTATCCCAGTCCTGCAACATTCACCCCATCACAGAAATCCAGTCCTTTCCATTTGCAGTGGTATGAAATCTTGGTCAGTAGCTGCAGAAGGAGCCACTGCCTTGCCCAAGGTTCATAGGGTTTTGAAGGTGCCTGAACTAACTAAGCCTACACAAGCCAGATCCCTTGCAGCTATTTCTTGGCTGAGAAGCTAGAGAGGCTAGGTATTGCATCATCTAGTGACATTTAACTAAAACTGGGAGCATTTATGTGGAACAGCCGTGTGGGAACAAAGAAGCTAGTGGGGCTGCAATGAGAAATCTGAGCTTTGATCAAGGAGACAGCAGCACTTCACTCTATCTGAGCTGGCAGGGAGATCCCATCCCAAAGCAAAATAAAATATATCATTCTTCTCAGCAGATGACATTCTCCCCAGTGGTTTGTTTCTCCCAGGACCGATTTATGCGATCTCCATTGTCTTTAAAGCCTCTCCCTTGAGGAAGCCGATTGTTTAATATAGACTGCAGCGTTAGCATCTGGGATTAAATCAGTCAGGCGACTCTGAAACAAGGCGAGCGTGCGTCCTGCAAAGGAAATAAAAATGCAAGTTTAATAGAGGAGATAGGTTCGCCTTGACCCATGCTGCTTTCTGCAACAGACACAGGAACGTACTGCTTGCCCAACAGAGGGTCCCTCCACCCTGCCATGGAAGTGTTTTACACTCCCAGTGAACTCCAGAAGCTCGCCGAGTGTGCACAAGGAACACACAGTCGGGCCCCAGAGGCTTTTACATCTTGCTCTGCTCTGCAGAGCTGCCCCAAGAGGGATTTGGCATTTCAGCCACACACTTCTGGTGTCTTCGGCTGCAAAGATGCACTGTGAAAATGTGAGGAAGAAAACCATCAGGAGGGGAAATGTTAACAGAGCCTCACGTGCCACTTCCTCTGCCTCCCCGGGGCTGTTTCAAGCAGGGTTCCTTCCAGCCAGGCACTGAACACAGCAACAAAGAGCTGCCCGTGAGGGACCCATGTGTGACGCGTCAGGCACGGCTCACACAACCCACTGCTGGTGTGAAACCAGCTCAAAGATTCATGTTGCACCACTGTAAGCACTCTTATGTCACTAGTTAGCCACACACCAGTTGCCAATTTCCACCAAAAAGCCGCATTTCTGGTAGTTTTGATTTTATTTTATTTTTTTAAAATGTCCTGTGAGCCAACAAGATGCGATTCTTCAGCACCACTGTGAGTGAAAACACTCAGTTACCTCATTCAGTGTTTTACTTTACAAGTAATAATTTAGCCCACAGTTGAAGTGTCAGCTAAATGAGATAATTTATAATAATTCTGAAAACATGCTAACGGTAAGAGGCTATAATCAGAGCTAATTACAGGGACATCTTGGCAATCCGTTGGTTTGGGGCTTTAGTTTTGATAAAGGGGATAATAACTTGTAAGCTATGATTCTTTTAATTATAACAATAGTAACCACCTTCTTTTATATCGTTTCTTTCATCTCTAAGAGCCCCACAGTTTTTTGCAAACTATACATCCCACAGGAACTGTTTAGACTAACACCAAAATGAAAGTCACCTCTGCGTGAAATAAGTAACTGTGTAGCAACACCTAGCAGTCCTGTGCAAAACGTGTAGAGGGAAGAAGGTGCAGAAGGACAACATAACGTCTCCTGTGCTCACCTGTCCACGTCCTCCTCTGGGTGATGATAAAGCTTTGACACTGCGACTGGGAGTTACAAATGTCAGCGGCCTCCTCGGCACCGTGAACGGAGAGCAGGCAGCCCAGGTGGCTGTAGGAGGGCCAGCACTTGTAGTCTTCTCCTTCCGCTGCTCGGAAGCCCTTCAGGGAGATGTAGTCTGGGGACAGAAGGAGCGTGTTTGGGGAAACTCTTTAAGTGCACTTTCAGAGTTTAGTTATACTACACACATTGGGTGCTGTCCTTCAATGAAACTCTCGAAGGAAATGGGATAGTGACTGAACTGATCTGCTCAGGTGGAGCATGTGGAGCTGCAAAGTCAAAAGAAAACCAAATGCTGACTTTTGGTTCTGCTATGGAGCACAGGACAGCAACTGCAATTCCCCCATAGATATGAGACGGGGCAGAGCTCTCAAGGGTGAAGGGACAGGGCAGCGACCACAGGATGGGTGAGAGAGGGAGGCTGCTGTGCAGGCTCACAGACCCTCCTCTTCCTCTCCGGAAAAACCAACCCCACAATGGCCTCTCCTACACCTCAGCCTCCACAGCAGAACCAGCTCATCACAGATCCAGCACTGAGCTACATGGGGCATGGTACCCATCATGGTGTCATCCCACAGGCAGGGAAGATTTAGAAATCCCAGTGGGGGAAAGGGAGGGCAGATGCTGCTTCAGTGGGATACCAAAGTTCTGACAACCCTGAGCCAGTCATGTTCAGGCTGTTGTTCACTGACTGGTAAGAATCTTCTCCCACCTTCCCACACCTCTAGGATAGTGATCATTTTGGCATGTTGCTACTGGGCCAGCTGTGAAGCCAACAGGTAGATGCTGTTGGAAAATACCAGTAACTTTTGTTAAAGCTGCTGGTCCTTCATAGCAAGTGACCAGGTATCTTTGTTCATAACAGTGCAAACTCCAGTTCTTCCACACATAAAGAGATGTTCTTCTGCAAGCCACAATCACCACCCCACCATCTCAAGTGGACGCTCAGAAAAATGTAAGCCTCAGCAACCACTGGACTTTCAAAGCATTTTGATTAGCATCATCTCTACCACTGAATGGGTCCTTTTCAGAGGAGTGCACCTCATAAAGGCTCATTTACCCATCCACCAGTCTCCAACGGGTTGGTCCTAAGAAAAAAGGAAATTTAGAGGGCACCAAAGCCCCAGCTACTCTGCCACACTCATCTTGGTGTTGTCACCTCCCCACTGTAAATTTCTATGCTAAACCATGCCTAACAGTTAGAAGCCACCAAGTGAAAGGACAAGTCACGATGTCCGCCCAGAAAACTGACCTGTTGGTCCATAGGATAAGATGACCTCAGAGAGAAGCAGGAGACACTCAGGTCACTACCCTGGTCTAGTTGCTTGAACTATCACAAATACCATCAGTTGCAACGCTGATGCACATTATGAGAAGAGTATTTAGAAGCAATGCAAACATATGTCCATATGTAGGCCAGATTGTCTGCACTGCATGTACTTTACAAAAAAATGCAATTATGCATCACTCCCATGAAAAACAACAAACGGCCACTCAGAAAAGATACTTCTGGTGCTTTTCCTAGTGACAACACACTGCCTGAATGTATGGGAGACCAGAATTTCACCAGTTATCATGTTCCTCACTTTCTCAGTAGTCCTGTTACTCAAAGCATTCAAAATCCTGTACCTTTCAAAACAAGAGGTCTCTTCTGCAGATACAGCCCAGACTTGTACAGATGTAAAACCTTCTCAAAAGCTTTCAAGGTTTCATTTATTCCATATCGTAACTCACCTACATTTAAAGAAAAAGATGACAAAGATGAGTAATTCCATACCATGTAGAGACTTCTAATAAAGGAGTTTATGAATATTAGCAGGTACCTGTTGCATTCAGAATATCACTTAGAAAGGGCCGCAAAGGTGGTGGTGCCGAGTGTGGCAAAAGATAGGTGAAAAAATACCTGCAAAAAATCCCACAGACTGATTAGAATACAGTTGCTTAATTTCCCTAGTGATTAAGTTGTCTACATTTTCCCATGATGCAACCATGTATATGCAACTAGTAAGTCAGCTTTGGTTAGTAAGTTATGTTTAAGCACTCCTTTGGCATCTCACAGCCCGTTCCCCTGAGCTGGGCTCAAAGCCTGGTCCTTGCAGCAGAGCACGTAGCCAAGCACCACGTGAAATTTGCTTTGTAAAGCTCACGCAGTGGAGAATTTCCTCATTCCCTGGGGCCATTTTTATACAGTAAGCAAAGTATTTCCCACCAAAACCCAGACCGTTTCCCATCAAAAAGAAGACCCATGCAAGACCCTTCACTTGCCCTGAAAAGCTTTGGCATTCCTATCACCCCTGGAAAGGCAGGACTACTCATTCCCTGAACGTCCCAGAAAATTCCTGCTCTACAAGAGACAAGTGCCTTTCTGCAAGGCTGCAGTAATAGATGCAGGGATTTGCCCTTTAACACTGAATCCTGCAAATTCAGGCTCCCTCACTAAGTCCTTACATGTAAAGGTCCCTCTGCCAAGAATTTCACCAGTACACAACCTGCCAAGCACCAACAGTGAGTGGAAGTCATCATGCTTTCAGCTGGTGGCCTGCATGAAGTGCTGCAGCAGTCTCAGCCCTCTGCCTGTGACCTGTTTCACTGCTCTTCCACAGGTGTCCATAGGCTCCACAGGGAGAATCAGAGATCAAGGGAAAATTTTGCTAGCCTGCTCCCAGCAAAGGGACTTAGGTGGGCTTTGGCAGGTAGCCTGTGCTGCCACCATTTGCAGCAGACGTAGCCTGTGGATGTCAAATGCCAGGGCTTGTTTGGCAAACAGTAAACTCACAGGTGCAACCTCTGGGGCAAGTTTCTAGAGGGCGTTGGAGAAAGGGAGCAGCAGAAGAAAGATGCTTTCATTCTCACCCAACAACAACTACACTATTTTCCTGCTTTATAAGGCAAATAAACTTGCTTCAAAGCAATCCTTAACCACCTGCTGACAGAGGTGAGAGGGAATCACTGCAAGGAAGAAGTACAAGATGCTAGAGTCTACGTGGCAGTGTGTGAGCTCAACCACTCCAGATTCTCCCCTATCTCACTGGGCATACCGATAGGCATTGAAAAGATTTTTCTTTTCATTTATTCCTTCACACTTCCCAGCCATGGAGCATTTGAGAGGGAAGCTTTTCGTAGGGAAGTTGAGTGTGCAGTCATTATCTTCCTTGCATGACAGTTCCTCAGTGCTGGCATCATCCATGTCTGTCACTTTTAGGTTTCCATCCACCATAACAAACTGCCTCGGCTGGAAATCCAGGAGGACTATTGAACCCAGAGGGGAGTGTGCCAAGTAAAACAGCAGTTTCACAAGACTCAGGCAAATCTGAGAAAGAGAAGATGAATATGCATGGGAAAAACAGATGAAAAACAGCTATTAAATTGGAATAAGAACAAAGAGGAGGGCATTCAATGAAATTAAAGGGGGGGGAAAGGTATATAGTACCTAAAAGGTAATTATATGTATGCTGCAAAATTTATTATCAACATTGCCACAGGATTTGACTGGTAAGTAGTTTAGCAACATTTTTTTAAAAACGTGTGTATACAAAAAAAAAGACATTTGCAGGTAGAGGAACTAGTGGAGAAAGCTGTGAGGAAAACAGCAGCCTTCATGTTTCAGGAGCTATATTGATTTGCTAGCTGAAATCAGAAGGGTTTTTTCCCACTCTGTCATAGAATTAATACATTCCACTCCCTTCCCCCATGCTGCTCCATACAGACCGAGGCTCCATGGTCATGAGTACCAGATTCACGCCTTGCTGCATCACTCAGCAGTATGAATTTGGACACACAGTCGTGCTTCTGAAGAATTAGCCAAAGCATGCAATGTATTTATTACCAAATTTTTTGCTTTTATGTCAACTTTCTGGCAGCAGGGAAAGTTCAGACAACACCTGATCTAGCAGAGAGCTCAGCAAATAATTTTTGAGCGAAGTAGAAGAGTGCATTTATACTGCACCAGCTGCACTTTAAGTAGCTTTTTGCAGCACTTTTCGCTCAGTGTTGGAAGCCCTGGGAGCAGAGGAACTGTGTCGCCAGATTGGTGTGCCAGGCAGCCCCGTGCCACCCCTCACTGCCTCCGACAGCGACCTGGGCAGGCGCGAGGGTTTGTGCGCTCGGAACAGCTCATAGAACCCTGGTATCTGATGTGGCTCATCAGAGGGGAATCCCACTCGTTTAGATGCCCTAATTAGGAAACAGGAGTAGACAATGCCAGTGTAAGTTCTGAAATATTATCTTCATCAGTCAAAAGATTATGAAAATCTTAAGGCCACCACACCAGACCTCACCACCAGCTAATCCAGTATCATAGGTTTCTAGCTCTAGAGAGACTTTGGCACATTTGAGAAGATGAGGTGCTGGAAAAGCTATGTTAGAAGCCAGTTTGTAAGCAAAAGTGGAACTCAATAGGTTAAGAGAAATTGCTCTGGAAGCTCTGATGCTATTTTAACTTGATTGGTGAAGAAATCCTAAGAAACCCAGCTTCACATCCCACAGCTCCATGAGCACGGTTGCCACAATGCCCCCCCTGGCTTGGATGGCAAGGCTCCTTTTCAACACTGCAGACCGTGTGCAGCCAGGGATTTTATTTTGTGACTTATGTCACGTTTCTATTTTGCCCAAAGCATTTCTTATTGACATTAAGGTGTCCATGCTTCTACTTGATCCTCTCTTTCGCCCTAGGAACCAAACAAGTGGTAGTAAACCTCTAACTGAGACCTCTAGGCAAACTGTAATACAAGCTATAATCAAAATAAGTGCCATGTCATAAGTCATTTATGTTCCTGGGGACCTTAAGAGTCCTTATGCGGGACGCTCTGGAGACAAGGCAGACCTCACTAACAGGGATCCAACCCTAGCACCTACATCAGGAGGAAAGCAATTTAGTAGTGTTTGCAATACAGCAGTACCTAAAGGACTAACATCAGAAACATCACATGAACGTTTGGTGAGAGACAGGCTGCTCAGCTTGCTGCCTAAACCAGAAAACACACAGAAAACAAGAGACTGGCAGCAGGGCAAGGAGGCTTTCCCGAGCCAGATCCAGCCTGCTGAGGGGTCTCACTACGACAGCCCCTTGGAAAACCAGCAGTCCGGTGTCACACTGGCCATGAAACACTGCCCAGCCCCGAGCAGGATTTTGTAGCCGTTCTCCCCCAGACGTAGTTCTGTTAACATCGCTTTAGAGAGACGGGCTATAGCAGCGAGGGGCCAGGCTAGGGCTATTTTAATGTGATTTAAAGGGAGTGAAAGCAAAGGACAACTTGCGGGAGCAAACAGCGCCCGCAGGACAAGCCCGTTTGCCCAGCAGCCATCGCGGGCTCTTCGCATTTACCCAGCTCGCGGTCTAAACGCGACTGATAAAACTCCCTTTGCTTTGTTTTCTTACTTTAAATCTCTCCTCCCAGGGGGTCTGCAGAAGCTGAATCATCTCCAGCGGGGATCCGAGCTCCAGCATAGCTGTGACCCGTATTTCAGGGTCTCCGCTGTTATCGTAGCATTGACCGTGCAGCTGCCGGGAGGGAAGGAGCGAAGGTCAGCGCGATGCCGCCGCGGGTGC